TTAGTCCACGAGTGGTTCCAGAAGTAGTTGTGATCCGTCTCTATCTTAAGGATGTCGTACAGACTGGCGGCGCTTCCGATGGACTTAATGTGTTTGCCCACAATTTTGCTCACATTTTCATACAATTCCGCGTTTTTCTCGACGAACTCTTTCAGTTCCGGCCGGTTGTATATTTTGGTCATTTCATTGTTCACTGCAGCGCATGGCTTTCCCTTTAAAGGAACGGTAGATTATAGAATTTAAATGTAATATTGTATGTATATTGGATTTAATAAATAGTTAAACATTAATGAATACCTCGTTGCAAACCAGATCATCTGAATGAGGCATAAATGTTTCGATGGGGAAGGGTTGCCATACGAGACCTAATTTAGCGTCCGTCCCGTTATTCCACTGCCAGTCGGGCTGTTTCGGTGGATAAGCGCCGGCTAATAGGCTGGACGTGCTTTCAATACATCTATCGGTGATAGAGCTCCGGACGTACACCTCTCGGGGCGAGTATTTGTCTCCCAAATAGTCGCTATACTCTTGTCGTATGAATTCTCCCAACTTATACAACCTATACTTGCCTTTAGTGGTCAGTTCGCCCACACCCTCCACCCAATACTTGGTGTCCTTATAGGGATCATTATCGGGAAAAGATGTAGGTGCTCGCTCGCCATGTCGATGAACTAACTGCAAGAGTTTGAGAGTCGATATGTCGTGATTTGGCCACCGTTTCGATGCATAACACGCGCTCACAAACACATATAAACTAAATATAATTGCAATTAATCTCATTTCCAAACAATAAAATGTAATTTATTAAANTCGCCATGTCGATGTACTAACTGCAACAGTTTGAGAGTCGATATGTCGTGATTTGGCCACCGTTTCGATGCATAACACGCGCTCACAAACACATATAAACTAAATATAATTGCAATTAATCTCATTTCCAAACAATAAAATGTAATTTATTAAATTAAAAACACTATTTTTACAGTATTTATTTGTATAAAAGTGTGAGAATAACCAGATTTATATAGTCATGCAGTCATATTAAGATTATATGATAAGACAAATGAACATCAAAATGAACAAAATTTAAATCCTTTTTCTTATCACTTGTGTATTTTTAAATATTTACCGATTGAGAATAACCAGATTTATATAGTCATGCAGTCATATTAAGATTATATGATAAGACAAATGAACATCAAAATGAACAAAATTTAAATCCTTTTTCTTATCACTTGTGTATTTTTAAATATTTACCGACATTACGGTAGTTACTCCCATATCTTATATACTGTAAAGCTATGTACACTGTACAACTATGTGCTGGATGTTAATTTTATAGATAAGATATTGTATTACAAATAGGGTTCAGGGTTTAAGTTAAATATACGGGTACTTTACATTTCCTCAACTTGTAGTCAACTTAAAATCTGTTTAGTTTTTAAAAGCATTTGAATTTGTGTAACAAAACAATGTATCAGTTTTAATGCTATTTATTAATTTAAAATCAGGTTACCATTACATTCACTATAATAAACATATGATTAAATTACAAACTTCATTACAATTACACAAAAAATGAGACAAAACTGTTGATAAGTAATTCAAAGAGAAAATCAATTATCATATAAATGCGAAAATTATAAATCAAATGAGAGATCAATGAGTGAATCCATTGGATCAGTGATGGGATTACTTCTTGTCCTCATCATCGGAGCTGTCTTTGTCTGAATCCGATTCCAGTTCTTTGCTGTCATATTCCTCTACCTTTCCTTTGCCGACTTCCTGCCAATTCATGGATAGAGTGGTTCCCTTACTTTCGTACATACTCTTCATCATTGCCCTCCGGGTGTCATCGTCTGCATTGCGGTACAACTGCTCTCATATTCCTCTACCTTTCCTTTGCCGACTTCCTGCCAATTCATGGATAGAGTGGTTCCCTTACTTTCGTACATACTCTTCATCATTGCCCTCCGGGTGTCATCGTCTGCATTGCGGTACAACTGCTCAAAGAATGCGTTTGGATTAGAGTCCGGATTATTCTTCTGCTCCTCTTCCTCCTCCTTCTGGAAGTCTTTCACGATTTTGTCCCAATTCTTGGGCCCTTTCGTGCCATTCGTCAGCTTTTTCTGATCGACGACTGGTTTCTTGTCTTGTGGTGCGTTTGGCTTGTCTTCCTGAGATGCCATCACTTGTGGTGTCAAACGGATAGCTATTATCAATCAAATTGAGTGTTCAGTCAAATGACGAGTGATTTGTTCACTGAAATAATGAACGCGTGTTTGAAATGAGAGATCTTTTATAGAGTTTCAATACAACTCAGGGATCAGTGGTTTGACTCATAGACTGTGTTTCACTTATCATTGCATTTGCTGCTCACTTACAGTCACTACAGGTATCTCAATAAGGTTTGACTGGTTTATAATAGATAATTAAGGATCTGAAGTTTGCTTTTATTTATTTTCAAAGTAAATGGTAGGTTTATTGTAGTTAAAACTTATAATTGTGAATTTTATTAAGTTATCTTGTAGATTAAATCTAATGTTTATGAATCCGTTTTGCAAATATACAAAGGTTAAAAGTAAATATTTAAGGTAATTGATTATAAATTGTAGAATAAATGGCTAATCATTTTCACCGCCATATCTAATAAACAAAAAGTTGTCTCTCGTACTGATCATTAGTTTTGAGTTTTAAATAAATTTTAAATGATATAAAATGCAAATAATATTTAAAATAAGATCATTTCAAACAAACTAATTAAATGTTAGATTGCATTCAGTTTATTCAAACTTTTCGTTAGTGTGCTTCAAGTTTTGGTTGACTTAATGATTAAGTCTTAATGTAGTGATCATTAGAACAGATAATTATAATTCTATTTATTAATTATGAGTTAAATTACATTCAATATTATAGACATATAATTGTATTCTTAAGAAAACATTGAGATATTAAATTAGATTCATATTAAATGTTAATAAAGTGTTTATTTCGATTCCTTGTCGTCATCATCAGAGATGTCTGAATCTGATTCACCCGAATCTGATTCTAGTGCTTCTGGTTCTTCTGAACTTGAAGACAGTTCATCGATACCACAGTCCTCTTCATCTCCTTCAGCAGATAATGCGTTTGGATTGGAGTCCGGGTTCTTCTTCTCCCCCTTCTTTCCCTCCAAGTCTTTGACCATTTTGTCCAAATTCTTGGGTACTTTCGATCCAATCGCCAGCTTTTTCGGGTCGACGACTGGTTTTCCGTCTTCGGTTGTCTTTGGGTTCACGTCCTTCGATGCCATCACTTGTCATTCAAATTGAATTCAATTATCAATCAATTTGAGGGTTCAGTCAAATAGCGAGTGATTTGTTCACTGAAATAATGAACGCGTGTTTGAAATAACTGTTTGAATGCGAATTCCTTTCACTACAACTCACGTCTTATACCTGTCTATTAGACTCTACTGATTAATAGTGTACAGTATTTTACATATTAATAATGTTTGCAGATCACTTATAGGTATATTACAGTTGTTGTATTTGAATAATTGTTAATCATTTCCATTAAGGTATTCATTTAATGAGCAATTATCCTACTCATTATTAGTCATTCAATCAAATATACATTGAATACAATTCTTGTTAGCATTATATTCTGTTTCGGAAATTCTGTTTAACATTCTGTTGCATATATGCAAATATAATGCAAAAATATATTTTAAATGATATAAAAAGCAAATACTTTACAAAACAATTACAACTCACGATTTAAATACTTGACTAATACGATGTTTGGCTTATCATTGAATTTGCTGGTGACTTGCATTTGAGTACATGTGCTAATTATTTTCACCATAATATTCATCAAATTGAAAAATATCTCTTGTTCTCGCCCTTAATTACTCAACTAAAGTACCTTGAGTGTTAGGTACAGTACTCATGTATTGAAATGGAAAGTGAGGCATTTTATTTTCTTCCTGAATAACTTTATGGAATATTCTGTTTTTATATTTTTAAAACAAATATAAAATAGGGTATATTACTCGATTCAAGACTAGCCTAGATCATAAAACTTGTTAGTAATACATTGTATATACAATATAAGGTGTATGCTAGTCTTGAATGGAGTAATACATTCAGTACATTAAATAATATGATATAAAATGCAAATACTCTGCAAAATAAGTTTATTTCAAATCAAATACAATTCAAAATACAAAATGTATTCCAAATTCTCAAAAGTCTTCAAACTTTCTTGGTGCACTCCTTGTCGTAGTCCTCATAAATCAAAGGTTTGGTTGACTTTATATAGTCATCAATGGGACAGTCCGCCAACTTCTGACAATCGGTGAGTGAGATGGGATGAGGTGTGCCAATGACACCACTGGCCGTTTCGTTTTGGTAGAAAAGTCTCACAAAATAGTCAGCACTCGAGGCCTTCTGGTGCAATTCAAAGAGAAGGGTCGCACCGTTAGGTGGGATGACATCATTGAACACATTCAACGACTGCATCAGTAGACTAATGTGTGCCCCATATGTCGAGTACACGTATGCCTTCTTTGTGTTGGTTTTCTTTAAAACTTTATCAAAATTAGTATTCAGTTCGTTGACTAAACCCCCGGCCCTCATACGCTTGATGATAGGGCTGTCGTAATCCCATTTCTGACCCCTGAGTGCCGACTCATACAACTGGGCGACCAGTTTGCTCTCTTCATCCTTACTCCACGTCTTATCCCAATACAAGTTGTTATCCAATTCCACACTTAGGGTGTCGTACAGATCAAAGGCCTCCCAAATGCCTTTAATGTCGGCGCCCACCGCTTTGGTCAGCGTGTCATTAAAGGAAAGGTAGAGGAATATGACAGCAAAGAACTGGAATCGGATTCAGACAAAGACAGCTCCGATGATGAGGACAAGAAGTAATCCCATCACTGATCCAATGGATTCACTCATTGATCTCTCATTTAATTTATAATTTTCGCATTTATATGATAATTGATTTTCCCTTTGAATTACTTATCAACAGTTTGTCTCATTTTTTTGTGTAATTGTAATGAAGTTTGTAATTCAATTATATGTTTATTATAGTGAATGTAATGGTAACCTGATATTAAATTAATAAATAGCATTAAAACTGATACATTGTTTTGTTACACAAATTAAAATGCTTTTAAAAACTAAACAGATTTTAAGTTGACTACAAGTTGAGGAAATGTAAAGTACCCGTATACTTAACTTAAACCCTGAACCCTATTTGTAATACAATATCTTATCTATAAAATTAACATCCAGCACATAGTTGTACAGTGTACATAGCTTTACAGTATATGAGATATGGGAGTAACTACCGTAATATCGGTAAATATTTAAAAATACACAAGTGATAAGAAAAAGGATTTAAATTTTGTTCATTTTGATGTTCATTTGTCTTATCATATAATCTTAATATGACTGCATGACTATATAAATCTGGTTATTCTCANATTATATATGAGAACTGTATATAATTCACTAATAAGTTCACTAATAATCGTAGAAAATATTGTATTAATATAAAATCTGTAATTATTAACTATTATATAGTTCTGCAACAATTATTTTATATTTAAATGCTATAGACTAAAAAATGTAAACTAAACCTATATTGCCTGACCACCCATTGTAGGCCAAACATTGCGATATCGTGAGCGCCGAGACCACCAAAATCTACAATCGGACAGAAGTGCTCGACTTTGAGGCCAAAAACAAGGAACTGTATGACACGCTGACCAAAGCGGTGGGCGCCGACATTAAAGGCATTTGGGAGGCCTTTGATCTGTACGACACCCTAAGTGTGGAATTGGATAACAACTTGTATTGGGATAAGACGTGGAGTAAGGATGAGGAGAGCAAACTGGTCGCCCAGTTGTATGAGTCGGCACTCAGGGGTCAGAAATGGGATTACGACAGCCCTATTATCAAGCGTATGAGGGCCGGGGGTTTAGTCAACGAACTGAATACTAATTTTGATAAAGTTTTAAAGAAAACTAACACAAAGAAGGCATACGTGTACTCGACATATGGGGCACACATTAGTCTACTGATGCAGTCGTTGAATGTGTTCAATGATGTCATTCCACCTAACGGTGCGACCCTTCTCTTTGAATTGCACCAAAAGGCCTCGAGTGCTGACTATTTTGTGAGACTTTTCTACCAAAACGAAACGGCCAGTGGTGTCATTGGCACACCTCATCCCATCTCACTCACCGATTGTCAGAAGTTGGCGGACTGTCCCATTGATGACTATATAAAGTCAACCAAACCTTTGATTTATGAGGACTACGACAAGGAGTGCACCAAAAAGTTTGAAGACTTTTGAGAATTTGGAATACATTTTGTATTTTGAATTGTATTTGATTTGAAATAAACTTATTTTGCAGAGTATTTGCATTTTATATCATATTATTTAATATACTGTATGTATTACTCCATTCAAGACTAGCATAGACCTTATATTGTATATACAATGCATTACTAACAAGTTTTATGATCCAGGCTAGTTTTGAAAATACAAAAACAGAATATTCCATAAAGTTATTGAGGAACAAAATAAAATGCCTCACTTTCCATTTCAATACATGAGTACTGTACCTAACACTCAAGGTACTTTAGTTGAGTAATTAAGGGTGAGAACAAGAGATGTTTTTCAATTTGATGAATATTATGGTGAAAATAATTCGCAAATGTACTCAAATGCAAGTCACCAGCAAATTCAATGATAAGCCAAACATCGTATTAGTCAAGTATTTAAATCGTGAGTTGTAATTGTTTTGTAAAGTATTTGCTTTTTATATCATTTAAAATATA